AGGCCAAGTACCATCCCAGTAAATGGAGAGTACAGCAGAGATTTTGGCAGACCCTGATACCTGGAAATACAGATATCCAGAATGATTCATCGCTCTGTCCCAGCTATCACTTCTACTCTCCTTTTCTAGTCACTTTGTCTTGGCTACAAAAACTGAAGCAAGGTATTGGATTCAAGTTATATATATTGCCTATCTACTCACAAAAATCTGAAGCTTCTCATCAGGTAAATCATTTGATTGGATTTTGACTCTTAGGATATATACATTTTATCAGTTTAATATTTAAAATACTTTTGCACTCAATGGAATATTTCGCTCTTTAAAACATATAGATATATAACATTGTTTCTGCTTGGGTTTGGTATACTTCTATGAGGTTTCCTCTGACTTGTACTCACAATTTTTGAGGTCATTGCACTAACATGCATTAATCTTGTTTGCATTTTTCTCTGCTCATCCATGCAATAGTCTGAGGAGAATGTTGTGTCAAGTGCTATGCTAAGTTCTGGGACTATAAAAATGAATAAAATCATTTTTTAAAACAAGGAATTTAGACTCTTAGATGAGGAGACTTATAAATTGACAGAAAGTCATTGTAAGTACTTTCTCAGTGGCTTTGTTTCCATTGGAAAGGAGGGCAAGGACCTTTATTGTCTTTTTCTCTGCTGTTATCACTAGTATCTAATACACAGGGCACTCAATAAGCATTTAGTGAATGAATGTGCTAAAATAGTAATACACAAAGGGACATCTTCCTGGTTTTATGTGTGGAGATTTGACTGGAGGGTGGGGTGAGGGTGTCACTTCAACGGTATAATTTAAAAAAAACTCTTGAAAAAGATTTCTGAGTTGAAACCTCGGAGGTAAAGGAAGTTAAAGGAAGTTAAAATCTATCTATCTATCTATCTATCTATCTATCTATCTATCTATCTAGTTTGGCATTGCTTAGGAATTCCTCTGATGATTGTCCTGTGATGACAAGAGTCTGTAGAGGTATGCGGCAAAAATATCTGAAAGACCTTGTAGACTGCAATTTATTTCCACTTTAATATCTACAAGAATACGCTGACTTCTTTTTTACTTGTCTATCCACACTGGTAGCTCATCCATGCTAAAGACAGTTACCCAAGTGCTTAGTATCATGATGGAGATAGAGTAGCTCCTAATTCCCTGAATGAATAAATGAGTAACAGCAGGGTGAGCATTGTGCAATGATTAAATCTTGTGAATAGTAAGATGTCAGGAATGTAGTTTATAACGAGGCAGAGCCCTAGTTAAGGGCTTAACTAATGGTGAGTTTAAGTGTCTCATCTCAGAAATAACATCAGACACGTGAGTGTGAGGGGTTTCCAAGTGCCCTCCTAGCGGTACAGTGAAGAAGCACAAATATAAGCACTCCAGAATTGATTAGGATTTGTCATTTCCAGGTCCCTGTGAGCAGGAAGAGCCTGGCTGGTTAGCCATGGGGTACCCGGACATTGGGTAGACAGGAACAGACTGTTGGATAGCACTCTGTGGCCAGGCTCGGCAAACTAGCAACACCAAAGCTCAGAGTAGGTGCAGGTTCTTCCCGAGCATGGAACGCAGGCGGTGCTCCTGGGATCCTGCGGCTGCCGTGAGCGCCCAGCGGCCGGGCGCTCGGCCACCGCAGGGAGGAGGCCCAGGGACGCCGAGCGCGATGCTGAACGCGCGGCGTGGAGGGCGGAACGCGGCAGGCGGGCCTCAGGGATCGCGCCGGACGCAGTTCTCAGGAGCACTCCCGAGCGCCTCCTGTCCACGTAGGGGGTGAACCTGGCCGCGGGGGAGGGCGGCTGGGGCCTGCAGTTCCCCCTCCACACCCTCCCTCCAAAGACCCATCCCAAGCCGCCGCACCGGCTTCAGTAGAGATCAGAGGGCGCGGCGGCCGCCCGGGGCAAGCCCCTGCCGCCTCCCGGTCACAGCCGCCGGGGCCTGAAAGGAAAACCACCTGCCACGGACTCTCCTCCGGGCAGGGGCAGAGCGCCCCAGCAGCCGGCAGGGTCAGCTCGGGAGGACGCGCTGGGACCCACCGCCACTTCCGGGAGGCCCTGAGAAAGCCGGCCTCCTGGACGGCCCGCATCTCTCCTCCGATTGGCTGGTTTCTCTCGGGCGGAGCTGCCCTCGCTGGTGATTGGACCAGTTGCACCGTCTGTCACCCGCCTCCGTGGGAAGCGGGGCGCTGAGGGGAGCGTTCCTCGTGGCCGGGAAGAGGTCGGTGGGGCTCGAGCCCGGTCTGTTTGTTGTCGTGGAGCCCGCACCCGGCGCGAGCCTCCTTTGCAACCGCCAGAAAAGGAACCAGTAGCCGTATGGCGGGCGGGGGTGGCAAGAAGTGCAGGTTTAGAAGTAAGTTGGAGCCACCTAACCCTGGCAGCATCCGAACGGGGACGCGATAGGAAGGCAGGCCTGGGACCGGGAGCTGTGATCCCAGGAGAGAGACCGTGTAGGAGGCAAGGCCTGGATTCTGTGGCGAGGGAAAGGCCTTGGGGGAGCTTTTCATGATCGAATTATTTGGGGATCTAATTTTCTAGGTGAGCGTCTAACAAAATCCACTGGAGGTTTTGCTTTGATTTTGCAGCAGGGTGGGGGACTACCCGCGGCTCCTAACCTTCGAAAAGACGACTTATTATTAATTACTTTTAACTATCTTTTATTGCTTCAGGTGGGCAGCTTCAAAAACACAAAAACCATTGAAAGGTGGATACCATTGCATATATTAAAAGCATGTTGAAAGGAAAATAAGGTATTCATTTTGATTTAGTTATAGTTGATTATACAAGAAAATTACCTTTGAGGAAAAGCTCTTAAGTTTATGAATACTATCCAGGGTAGCTTGATTTTATGATAGGATTCAAATTCTTAAATTGTTTAACATAAAAATAATATTATTGATGTACCTACCAAAAATGCTCTTTACTAATGATGATCTTAGTCCTATTATTCTGAAAATAAAAAGAAATCTTGAGTCTTTAGTAATGTTAATTTGCATTTGGTTGGATAGTGCTCCTAGATCTTTCCTTAAAAACGATGTAATAATGACTAAAAAAAAAAAAAAAAATCCTTGAATTGTAATTTAATGTTAGAATATGCATGGAATTGGATTTTGTTTACTCATACAATAGTTTAGACCTGTAGGCTGATTTCACTTTAAAGTAGTTTGCACCCTAGACGCGTTGGCTCAGTGGATAGAGAGCATCGTCTGCAACTGAAGTCCTGGGTCCAAGGTTTGATTCTGGTCATTGGGTCCTGCATGCTCCTCCCCGGCCTCTGCCTGGTAGGGGTTTGGGCAGGAGGCAACCAATCGATGTTTCTCACATCAGTGTTTCTCTCAGTTTTCCCTTCTCTCTTCTACTCTCTTTAAAAATCAATGGAAAAATATCCTCAGGTGAGGGTTAAATATAAATAAATAAATAAATAAATAAATAAAGTAGTTGGTTTATTAAACACAGAGTCACAACTGTTGCTTCATTGGCAACATAGTCATTTAATCGTCCAGCCTCTATTAAGTCATGTGTTATATCACATACCAGAAGTGGTTAAGGAATGATTTATTTCATCCACAGAAACACCCAAGTTAGCTCTTAAAGATTGACTTAGCCCTACCCTGGAAAATTCTGACCAAGGATTAGGGATAAGATCTGGGCATCTGTGTTTCTTAAAATTTTCTCATGTGAGTTTGATGTGTACTCCTAGTTGACAACTGTTGCTTTAATGATTTACTAAATAGATTTGTTTGGCCCAGCTCGTGTTTAGTTGCTCAGTGGTTAACCCATGAATTAAGAAGTTTGATTCCCAGTCAGGGCACTTGCCCGGGTTGTGAGCTCCATCCCCAGTGAGGGTTGTGCAGGAGGCAGCCAATCAACCAGTGATTCTCATCATTGATGTTTCTCTCTCTCTCTCTCTCTCCTCCTCTCTATAAAAATCAATAAAAATTTAAAATATTTATGAAACAAACAATTTCTTCCCCTTGATATTCTAATAATTTAAAATAAAGCTGCTGAGGAATGACATTTAAATATAATCCTAAAGATAGTGTTTGCCTAGAAACCTCTGGGACTAGACCATTCCAGGTTTAGGAATGAGGTTTCGGATAGGGAGACACAAAATGCTTTGACACACAAACAAACCTCAGTGCCATGCCTTGGGTATTTTTTCCTGTTAGACTTAAGGAGACATCAACTATAAGTCTATTCTAAGTTAGGCGACCCTGCTAATGGCCCACAGGTTGAGAACTGCTGCTGCAGAGCCTAAGACAATTGGAAAACAGATTTTACATTACAATTCATTAACAGTAGCAAAATTACAGTTATGAAGTAGCAACGAAAATAATTTTATGGTTGGGGGTCACCATAACATGAAGAACTGTATTAAAGGGTTGCGGCATTAGAAAGGTTGAGAACCACTGGTCTATTCAGTAAATACAGTCTGCTAAATTATTTTTACCTCAACAAAAGTATAATTGGATGAGGGTGGGGGTTCTAATATTAACATTTATGAGCTTTATTTTGGGAAGAATACCCTTGCTCAAAATAAATGTAAATAATACATTTCTAATAGCCATTTGCTTATTAAATAAAGGATGTGTATGATTCAAGCTTAAAATTTGTTAACATGAAGAACCCAGATATTTGAGACAATAATGAAGGCTTTTAGACCAACTGTACTTGAGAGTCAAAGGGTAAAAAATGAGATAATCACTTTGGTATTCAGGTATGAGATGTGTGGTGAAACCAAAGCCAGTTTGACTTAAATAATAGCTTTAGGCAAAGAAGTAGGTCCAATTGTGTTCTAATTCCTAGAAGCTGGTTTTAATTTTATATGTAAGTTCCTCACTGTAAGATTTGGCACATGAAAGTTTTGAGTAGGAGACAAAATTTTTAAATGAGTTTAAAAAAGCTAAGTTAAAAACATGAAGCCATGTGTAGTCTGTGACTAATACCTTGAATTTTATAATCTTGTTTAAACAGAAAGCCAGGAATCTCAGAATGAATCAGTCTAGATCTACATCACATGATGGTGGTGAAGAAACCGTATTTCAAGACCATGATCATCCTGAAAATGAGAGAAGATGGCAACAAGAGCGTCTTCACAGAGAGGAAGCTTACTATCAGTTTATTAGTGAACTCAGTGATGAAGATTACCGGCTAATGAGAGACCATAATCTTTTAGGCACCCCGGGTAAGAGATGGTAAAAGAGGAAACACCTTTTTCATCATCAAAGAAGAATTTCAAAATAAGGAGAGTTTTTTTTCCCCTTCTTCTTCCTTCCAAAATATCCTGTACTTTTTTTTAATCCTCACCTGAGGATATGCTTATTGATTTTAGAGAGAGGGGAAGAGAGAGAGAGATGGAGGGAGGAGTGGGGAGAGAGAGAGAGAAACATCATGTAAGAGAGAACATCGATTGGTTGCCTTCTGTATGTGTCCAACTGGGTATGTGCTCACAATCTTTCTGTATATAGGAGGATACTTCAAACAATTGAGCTACACTGACAAGAATTTTTTAATATAACAAAATAGAAAATCATAGGCTTGTGTATTTTATAAATAGGTAAGAATATTATACATAGAGCACTGTTATACAACTGCCAAACTGATAGGTTAATGTACATGATAGTGTCAAATATTTACATAGGTGGTTCTATTTCTATAAAATTATTGTAGTTGTGTGTCCATCTCCTCTCCCCCCTGCTTATCCATGGTTTCTCTTTCCGAGGTTTCAGTTATCCAAGGTAAATAAATTTTGCCGAAGCCGGTTTGGCTCAGTGGTAGAGCGTCAGTCTGCGGACTGAAAGGTCCCAGGTTTGATTCCAGTCAAGGGCATGTACATTGGTTGCGGGCACATCCCCAGTAGGGGGTGTGCAAGAGGCAGCTGATCGATGTTTCTTTCCCATCGACGTTTCTAGCCCTCTATCCCTCTCTCCTCCTCTCTGTAAAAAAATCAATAAAATATATATTTTTAAAAAAAGAAGAAATTTCATGCCATTCTGAGTACCATTAAGAAATCTTTTTTTAAAAAAATATATTTTATTGATTTTTTTACAGAGAGGAAAGGAGAGAGATAGTTAGAAACATCAATGAGAGAGAGTCATTGATCAGCTGCTTCTTGCACACCCCCTGTTGGGGATATGCCCGCAACCAAGGTATATATTCTTCACCGGAATCGAACCCGGGACTTTTCAGTCCCCAAACCAACTCTCTATCCATTGAGCCAAACTGGTTTCGGCCATTAAGAAATCTTATGCTGTCCTGCACTGGATGTAAACCATCATATCACCCTGCATACATTACCCATCCATTACTCACTTAGAAGTTATCTCTGTTATTAGGTCAACTGTGGTGATATTGGGGTATTTATGTTCAAATAACCCTTATTTTACTTAGTAATGGCCCAAAACTATTCACTTCATTATAGTATATTTTTATAATTGTATTATGATAGTTGGTGTACTTAATTTATAAATTAAACTTTATCATAGATATGTATATATAGGAAAAAACATAGTATATATAGGGTTTGATATTATGCATAGTTTCAGTGGGTGTCTTGGAACGGATAAAAAGGACTCCTGTAGTTAAAACCCAATTGTAACTTATTTGAAGCATTATAATTAATTTAACTGATTTAATAACTACCAAAAAAGTCCAATGTGCTCTATAAATTTTTTATAAATTTATTTTACAAATGAATCATTGAAATTTGTATGCTTGTATATTATATATTTATATAGTGCACATTTGCATATTGTATTTTGATGACCCATGTAATGAACTATTGAAGTTCAAGTAAATAAACATTAGAAATTTTCTCTATAAATACTCCCTTAATTTCTTTTTAACTTTGATGAAAATTCATGGAATTATAGATGAAGTGTATCAACTGAGGGTACTTTGTTAATTATTAAAATAAAGTTAATTTTAATAAAATATTAATTAATGAAACCCAACCAAAATGATGTGTATTTGCAACATTTAAATATTTTTAACTGTCTTCAATATATAGAACATGAAAACAATAAAATGTCTTCTACAGCTAAAGATTAGTCTTACCCTTCATGAGTTACAATAAAACTTTGTAATTTAAAGTTTTTCATTTCAGTGAACAATTTTTCATTGTTTTAGGGGAAATAACATCAGAAGAACTACAACAGCGGTTAAATGGAGTCAAGGAACAATTGGCATCTCGGCCTGACTTTAGAAATGGGACAAATACCAGAGGTACTGTTGACTCTTTCTGTAAGGAACATGTCTGATTAGAGCAATTGCAGAAATGAACTTACTAGATCTTGTACAGCATTTTTTTTTTAATGTTTTCCAGTTTAGATGTACTACTCAGATAGCATTTATATATTATATGCAAAGCAGTATAATTAGGCAATATAGGACAGGGATGTGTAATTAGGTAATATGGACAGGCAATATAAATACAGAAATACTTTACACACAGAGATTGCCTTCAGGGAGATCACATATATGAAACCGTATGCAATTAAATTAATTACCAGCATAGTTCTTTTTAATCTTAGAATGTACACACAACTTTGTTTAAAATAATATAACTAAACCTAGCTTCTAAAACTTTATGTAGGGCAATGCATCAGGAAACCTGTTTTACTTGTTTCTATGTTTGCTTTGTCATTTTATTGAGCAAATACTAAATCATAATATAAGAAATTGTGATAAAAAACAAAGTTCTTGTGAAAAGAATTCAAACTAAATAAGAACTATATAAAGTTGAAAAGTAAAGCCAACTTTAATGTTCTTCTTACCAGGTCTACTTCCTTCCCCAGAGGTATTTATTACTACTAGTTTCATATGTAATGTAAGAGCATTATATTATTTAGGGCAAAGATTATTAATAACCAAAAAATGTAATGGCTCAATAAAATAGAAGTTTATTTCTCTTTCATGTTAATAGACCAGGGAAGGTAGGCAAACTTTGCTTGATAAATCCTCCCGGGACGGAACCCACTCAATCAGAAGTTTCTACAACTGTATTGTTTACATATGACTAATGAAATAAAAAATGCAGTGCCACAGTCATGTTAGCCCCATTTGAGTGCTTAATAGTCACATGTGCCTAGTGGTATGTGCATTGAATAGGATAGATATAGGACCTCTCCACTATGACACAAAGTTTTATTGGACATAGCTTCTCCAGGATACTGTTTGCATGATCAAGCTAAATCACAGTCATATCCAGGTTCCAGCTGGCATGAGGGAGATGCAGGCACCAGCTTGAAAGTGAGATATATCACTTCCACTCCCATCCCACTGATGAGAACTTAGTCATATAGCCACACCTAACTGCCAGGCAGCCCAACGTGACTGTTACCTGCATTTACAATGAAAGAAAGGTAGGATAGATTTTGTTGGATAAATAGTGAACTCTTGGACACACACACTTATCACTACATTCTAGTAATTAAAGAAGGAAGTACCATTTAGATAATGTTTACTTGCATTTTACTATGTCTTTTTCCAAATTAAAATGGAAATTGGATATTAACCCTTTTTCTACTTTATATTTAGATATGTAAATTATACTACCATATTGGTACAACTGGTAATACTGGTCCTTTGTTTTAATTGAAAATGTTCTTACCACGTACAAAATAGTTTATATCTTTAAAATATGGCTAAAGTTGGTGTTTATTTTATACCATCAACTGATTAACAACCTTAAGTCAACATTTAATAAAGGTTTTGCCAGCCAGTGTGCCTCAGTGGTTGAGCATCGACTCATGAACCAGAAGGTGACTGACTGATTCCTGGTCAGGGCACATGCCCAGATTTTGGACTCAATCCCCAGTAGGGAGTGTGCAGGAGGCAGCTGATCAGTTCTCTCTCATCATTGATGTTTCTATATCTCTCCCTTCCTCTCCCTTAGTCTCTCTGAAATAAAAAAATATATATATATTTTAAAAAGCTTTTTATGAGAGATTGCAGTAATGATATGAAACCAAAGCAATCTCATTTAATAGCTATTTTTGAGTAGAATAAAATCTATATAGTTAATGTGTATTAGTATGCCTTTCATTCAGTTTTGCACTTTGTATAATCCACTAGTTAAATAAGGAAAACTGAAGCTATTACCACAGTAGTAGTATCAGATCAAAGAAGACTATCAGGAATACATTAATTTCTAAAATTGATTCTTTCAATAAAATAAATTTCTAATCTGATTTGCATCAGATACTGTTATAGAGGTTGGAAATGTACCAGTGAATAAAATAAAATCCTTAGTCTTCATGGAGCTTGTTTTAAATGAACAAAATGTATTTTGTTATTCAGTGTTTCCCAAAGTGTGGTACGCATACTCCCAGGGGTATGGGAAGAGTTTGGTGGGGGTATACGTTGCACTGGAGTTTGGTGGGGATATGCACTGCACTGTACTTAGCTGTGCCTAATTCTACGTTTTTATGAGTACGAGGGGTACTCAGCATTACGAAAATTATAGAAGGGGTACACATATCTCAAAAGTTTGGGAAAAACTGTTAATGCAAATTGACTGTCACTCCAACACACAAGATGACTGCTACCATGTGGACACAGATGACTGTCACAAGATGGCCAGCAGGGGAGAGCAGTTAGGGGTGACCAGGCTGGCAGTGGAGGGAAGTTGGGGGTGACCAGGCCTGCAGGGGAGGGCAGTTAGGGGTGACCAGGCTTCCCGGGGGGGGGGGGGGGGGAATGGAATGGGAGGGATTAGACCAGCAGGGGAGAGCAGTTAGGGGCAATGAGGCTGGCAGGGGAGGGCAGTTAGGGGCAATCGGGCTGGCAGGGGAGCAGTTAGGCATCAATCAGGGTGGCAGGGGAGTGGTTAGGGGTGATCAGGCTGCCAGGCAGAAGTGGTTAGTGGCAATCAGGAAGGCAGGCAGGTGAGCAGGTGGGAAACAGCAGTCCTGGATTGTGGGAGGGATGTCCCAGATTGGAGAGGGTGCAGGCTGGGCTGAGGAAGACTCCGGGCCTCTAGCATTATGTATAATGGCTACCATTTATTGAATTCTTTGTGAGTGCCAGGTATTGACTATTCATTTTATATACACTGGCTTATTTTATCCACTGTGACATTTATACTGCTATTGATACAGCTGTAGAGAACTTAACATCCTAAAGTTTTCCATAATATAGTTCTAACATTGTATTCAGAAAGCCAGATTTCTTTAGCTGTACATTTTTTGCAATTCCTGAGAAATAGGAAATAAATTCCCAAGGTTACAAAAATATCTAGTTGCAAAAATGTCAATTGAGTTACCCTTACCAAAAGAATTCCAAAAATTTAGGATGAATTATATATAAAATTTCCACATTATATAGTGATATTGCTATATGAATAAACCAGTATAGATGTATAATTTTTGTATAGGCATATTTTTCATTTGCCTTAATTTTTTGCCTATAACAGGCATATAGAAAGCAAAATACTATTTATGCAAAGCTGTGAGGACTTCCTCACAGCTTTGCATAAATAGTATTTTACATATTTTAATATGCTAAAATAGTGTACTACAGGCCTGGTGCATGAAATTGGTATATTGGGGGGGAGGTACTGTCCTTCAGCCCAGCCTGCACCCTCTCCAATCTGGGACCCCTCAAATATCCCTGTGAGATTCCTGTGGGATTGGGCCTAAATCGGCAGTTGGACATCCATCTCACAATCCAGGACTGCTGGCTTCCAACTGGTTACCTGCCTGCCAGCCTGATCACCACCTAACCACTCCCTTGCCAGCCTAATCAACACCTAACTGTTCCCCTGCCAGCCAGATTGCACCCAACTGCCTTTCCCTGCTGGCCTGATTACCCCCAAATGCCCTCCCCTGCCAGCCTGGTCGCCCCTCTCTCCTCTGCCAGCCTGGTTGCTCCTCTCTCCCCTGCCAGTCTGGTCACCCCCAACTGCCCTCCTCTGCAGGCTTGTTTGCCCCCAACTGCCCTCCCCTACAGGCCTAGTCCCCCCAACTGCCCTTCCCTGCTGGCCTGATTGCCGCCAACTGCCCTCCCCTACTGGCCCGGTCCCCTGCAACTGCCCTCTCTGAGAGACCTGGTCCCCCTCCTCCCAACTGCCCTACCCTGCTGGCCTAGTCACCCCTAACTGCTCTTCCCTGCCAGCCCGATCACTGCAACTGCCCTCTCCTGCAGCCTGGTCCCCTGCAGGCCCGGTCCCTCCCAACTGTCCTACCCTGCCAGCCTGGTTGCCTACAACTGCCCTCCCCTGCCAGCCTGGTCACCCCAACTTCCTTCCCTGCAGGCCTGGTCCCCCTAACTGCCCTCCCCTGCTGACCATCTTGTGGTGGCCATTTTGTGTCCACATGGGAGCGGCCATCTTTGACCACATGTGGGCGGCCATCTTGTGTGTTGGAGTGATGGTCACTTTGCATATTACCTCTTTATTATATGGGATATCTTTTGCAAAGTTGTTTTTTGCCATTTTTTTATTAAAATGCACAAATGTTCTTCAATATAATTTAATGAAAACTTTATCTTACAAACTTTCAATTAAAAAATCTAAGAATAGATTTTAAGAATTGATCTTAAATTGATTTGGCTTGCTTTCAGACTCAGCAGTCCCTAGAGAAAGTTTAGATGAAGATTTTCTACTAGAATGGCTAAATACCTTTCGTCGCACAGGCAATGCAATTCGAAGTGGACAAAATGGGAACCAAACTTGGAGAGCTGTGAGTCGAACAAATCCGAATAGTGGAGAGTTTCGGTTTAGTCTGGAAATCCACATCAATCATGAGAATAGAGGATTTGAAACTCATGGTGAAGATAATATAGGCATTCCACTTTCAGATATTAGCAGTGATCATACTACAAATAGACAGCAAAGATCAACTAGTCCTGTGGCTAGGCGAACAAGAAGCCAAACCTCAGTAAATTTCAGTGGTGGTGGTTCCAACATTCCAAGAACTAGGCTTGACTCAAGCGGGCAGAATTCAGTAGAAAGATTTTTCTCAACCTCAGGAAGTTTAAGAAATGGAACTAGGAGACTAGTTAGCATGCCTAGAACTAGTGCTCCACGTGCTAATTTCAGTAGTCACACACACCAGTCAGGTGATAGTGAACTCACACAAAGGGAGGGGCAGCGATTTGGAGCAGCACATGTTTGGGAAAATGGTGCTAGAACTAATGTGACAGTGAGGAATACAAACCAAAGATTAGAGCCAATAAGATTACGGCCTACTTTCAGTAGTCGAAGCCGTTCACCAATTCAGAGACAGAGTGACACTGCTTATCACAATTCACAAAGAGAAGGTAGATCTTTACAACAAAACATTAGAAGGCTTTCGAGGAGGAGAGGTATGACTCGTGTCCTTTTAGAACAAGATAGAGCACACAGAGGAACAGCATATACCCCATTCTCTAGCTCAAGACTCGTGTCAAGAATAACAGTAGAAGAAGGAGAAGAATCTAACAGACCCTCAAGTGCTGCACGACATCCAACAATCACACTGGACCTTCAAGTGAGAAGGATTCGCCCTGGAGAGAACAGAGATCGGGATAGTATTGCAAATAGGACTCGATCTCGAGTAGGGCTAGCAGAAAATACAGTCACTATTGAAAGCAATAGCGGGGGCTTTCGCCGAACTATTTCTCGTTTAGAGCGGTCAGGTGTTCGGACCTATGTTAGTACCATAACAGTTCCTCTTCGTAGGATATCTGAGAATGAGCTTGTTGAACCATCCTCATTAGCTCTTCGGTCAATTTTAAGGCAGATCATGACTGGATTTGGAGAACTAAGTTCTCTAATGGAGGCCGAATCTGAGTCAGAGATTCAGAGAAATGGCCAGCATTTACCAGAGATGGATTCAGAACTAAGTAACTTAGTGAATGACATCAGCGAGCACCATGAAGATTCCTCTCAAGACAGATGGGCCCAAGAAGACAACACTGAAATGAGTGGTGAAGATGAGACCACTCAGCCTCATAACCAGAACAGTGATAGAAGAGGTAGACTGTTGCAGAATTCAAATAACTTAGTGGAAACTGGAACACTACCTATTCTTCGCCTTGCTCACTTCTTTTTACTAAATGAAAGTGATGATGATGATCGCATACATGGCTTAACCAAAGAGCAGATTGACAATCTTTCTACCCGGAACTATGAGCATAACAGTATTGACAATGAACTAGGTAAAATCTGTAGTGTTTGTATCAGTGACTATGTAACTGGAAACAAGCTCAGGCAATTACCTTGCATGCACGAATTTCACATCCATTGTATTGACCGCTGGCTCTCAGAGAATTGCACTTGTCCTGTATGTCGACATCCTGTCTTAGGGTCCAGTATAGTATACAATGGATGAAGTGTTTAATAAAACAATGGTTTTATTAAAATACTGCATTTCAGTGGAGATGAGTATTCAAGCATTCTTTTATTTGTGATGAACTAGGATGAAAAGTAACATTATTATAGTTAAACTATTTTTTGTGTGGTTTTTTAACTTGTTAAAAAGAGAACATTTATATAAAATTTAAAATGTAAATGTTAAATTATCCAAAAGTACAGAATAGTTAATATTGCTAGAACCAAATAACCTTTACAATGATTTTATTTTAGTGATTTTGTCATGCTATGCACTTTTGTATACACTGCACAGTTCAGTGGGTTAAAAATCGATTTTCTTTTTCTTAATAGTACAATAGATTTTCTTAATAGTACAATAGAAACTTCAAATTCCATAGTCTTAGTACTATGTCCAGACATTGGTGTCTAAGCCTTTCATTACCTTTTTATTCTAAGGACAATATCTTCTCATGAAAAAATGTTTGGCTGAATGTTTGCTAAATGTATTTAAGTTACTTGAAATGTTAAATTTAATATGCAGCATACCATATGTGTATATATAGCTATATAATTTTAAAGTTAAAATATTTAATCTAAATGATACCAGTGTGGTGGTGGTTTAAGCTTTTCAGCTATTACTGCTTATGGCACAATGTTTAATATTTACAAGATCATCTCTGGGAGAGAGTGGATTAAGATATTTAAAAATAGAGATAATTTAATGAAGCGTCTCTGACAATCTGACTTAGACAGCAAGCAATATATAATACTGAACAAGTTTTTTTTTTTTTTAGAACATGGACGTTTTAGAACATATAGGTTATTTAACTTGAGTTCAGTCTTTTTGTGACTTTTTGGAAAGTACAAAAATCTTTGATTATAATAAGTAAGGTACACAATGTGCATGGATTCTCAGATTTTATTTTAGAGTCTAAAGAATGTCTATAAAGAATCAAATGCATAGGTAATATGTTAAGTTTACTTGGAAGCCAAAAACTCCAAATAAAATAAAATACCCTTAAGAGAATGTAGAATTTATATAAACACAAAGTATGCTTTGAAGATCTATTTCTACCAATAAATATTAAAACAAAGCTGTGTGTGAACTGTCCTATTCCACTGTAATATATTCACTCAAAAAATATTTATTTCGTACCTACTAGGTGCCAGGCAATGTTAAGTATTGAGAATTGAGTAGAGGATTAAAAGGCAAAGTCCCCATCTTCACGGGGAAAAACATATTTGCTCTTAGAAATTGAAAGTCAGTTGACAATGAATTACTGTTTTGATTTTCATGTTTGTAAATATATGATACTAGAGGCCTGGTGCATTAAATTTGTGCACTTGGGGGGTTCCTCAGCCCTGTCTATGCCCTCTCACAGTCTGGGAGCCCTTGGGGCATATCTGACTGATGGGTTAGGCCCAGAGGAAGCAGACCTCAGCTGGCAGTTGGACATCCTTATTGCTGCCATGGAGGCAGGAGAGGCTCCTGCCACTGTCGCTGCACTTGTCAGCCAAGAGCCCAGCTTCTGGCTGAGCGGCACTACCCTTGCATCGAGCGTCTGCCCCCTGGTGGTCAGTGAGCAGCCTAGCGACTGGTCATTCTGCCATTCCGTTGATTTGCATATTACCCTTTTATATAGGATTGTTTTCCTGTGGTGAACTGCTTGGGCAAAGTCACAAGAACACATACCTGAAAACTAGATTCTGTAAGATTTTGTTATATCTCAAGATTTAGTTTTTCTTTATGATCAGTGATTACACAGTAGAAGCAAAAGTAGGTTTTACAATTGTTAGTATGTGAAACAATTCTTTTATTATTTATTGTATTATTTATAACAGATGTAAACCTACTTTTGCCCATCCCTGCATTCAATTCAATAGATGTGTGCCCAGGAATTGTTAGGGAGTACATTTAATACCTGGAATAAAAGGGTTTAGAAAAGATCATTACTTTTTTTGAAATAAATGTTTATATAGATCAGTTATGGAACATAGAACTGTGAAGTTTGATTTGAAAACTTTAAATACCAGACTAAGGAATTTTAACTTTACCTTACAGACTATAGATGTCTCTTGATGAATTTTAGTTCTGAGTGGTAAGATCATTTTTCATGTTTCAGGAAGACTGTTGTGGTACAATGTGTAGAACACAGTGGACTGGGGAGAGATGGGAAGCAAAAAAACACACACAATAGTAAAGGAACTATTGTGATATTATCAGTTAGCATCATCATCATCATCATTTGTTACCTAACCTAGAGTGGTGACAGTAAAACTGGAAAGAGAGAAGGAGGTAAAAATAAGGGGGGCGGGGGGAGGAAGGCATTTGGTTTCTAGTTCAATATGAAAATGTGGGAGGGTCATGTACTTACAGATGGAGAATTGCCTGAGTGGAGGAGGGTGCAAGCTATGTTGGTTTAGACACTTGTTTTAAATATTAATAGTCCATCGCGCAATATTGCGTACAGTAGGCCGCCTGCTGCTTCCACGGCCAGGAGGGTCCCCACTGCTTCCACAGGAGTCTGGAGGCAGCTGCTCCACTTCCGCAGGAGCCGGGAAGGACCCTTGCCAAATGCGCCGGAGGCAGGAGAGAGCCGAGCTGCTTCCGCAGGAGGTGGTCCCACCGTCTTTGGGCCTGTGCTCAGCTGTGGAGGCTGTGGGCCGGTCTCCTGTCCATGTCTGTGTTCGCTCCAGCTCTGGGGGGGAGGGGGGTGCGGCCCAAGCCAGAGCATGGTGGCTCGCAGGCCCCCCTGTCTCTTGTCTCCATCTACGCTCTGCTCTGGGCTTCACCTGTGCATGCAACCTTCTCCTATCTGGTTGTGACCTGTTATGGTATATTGGCCTAATTTGCATATCCCCCCCTTCTCTCTAGATAGATAGATAGATAGATAGATAGATAGATAGATAGATAGAACCTTAGTAAAATATCTCACTTATTTCAGTGTACCATTTGACAAGATACTAAATTCAGCATTTATTGCTCATATGGAATATTTCTCAGGAAATCCTACTTCCCCTGGCCTGATTAGTTAAGAGAATTGAGAGGAAAGTGAAAAAAGGGGGAAATGAAAAAAATAGGAATTAAAATATACACACACACATTGATTATTTGTTTGACTTACTATTATAGTAATTCTTTGCAAGACATGGTAGAACCAGCATGTGAAGAGATCCCAAATATGCATTTGAAATAGAAGCAGATGTGTACTATTTGGAAATTCCCTGAAAGCAGCAGTAAAGTTTAATGGATTTTGTAAATTGGCATTCTAATTGGGAACAAAAGTGCTTTCTTTAATGTTTTTATTCATTTCCCAGTAAACAAGGCTGATGACAAAAGCTCATTATTTATAGCTTCTATTTGCAACAACTGTGCCATTTGTGGTTCCAATTCAGAAAGGAACAAATAGTTTAACATTTTTCATTTGAATATTGTGTTCATGTCATGTGCTTAGAACTTTTGTTTATATTGCAGCAGTCTCACAAACTTCTATTTCTAAACTGCGTCAACTTGCCAATTGTTTCCCAAGTATTATATACCCTTTTACCTGTTTCCCAGGTTTTATAGTTTCAACTAGCATTGTTATGTCACATACTTGATTATCTTTTATTCACTCATATGAGGTTATTTCAATGTTTAATGTGAATTCATAATTTAAACCTTCTAAGATCTTGAAACATTATTGCTACCTAACATAGTAAGTGGCAGAGTTGAGGGGGTCAATCACAGGACCATTTGCTCCAAAGCTTGTGCTCTTCCCACTGCACTGCATCGGAAGAAGCAGAAGTGCCCTGGAAAGTTTTCAGACTACTTTATCTCTTCTAAAGGTGGTTTTTTTTCTAATTTTATAATTTGGTTATGTCATGTCTTTGTGATTACCCTAATTTCCATATTCAAATACATCCTTTCTGTATCATGAATGAAGAGAAGAGGACTGCTCCTGAATGATAAAACAATCTGTTTTTTATGTAGGAATCAAGAAGAGGCATCTAAAGCAAGGCGTCTGATGATGCTGTGTTAAGGACTAGAGTTAATAAGCTAACTCTGGGGCATTTCATGAATATTATTCCCAGACAAGAATTTATAATGAACTTCTAATCTTCCTCAGGAAGAATTGTGCAGAAATAGCACTCCACGTGAAGGGGTAGTTAGAATTCCCTTGGCATTGGCAGTAGGCCCATTTGTGGTCTCTCCCTCAATTTTGTGTAACATCCGAAGTCAGAGCTTGGATATCTGTTCACACATATGTAGAAGATGATTTCCCAGGAAGCCAGACCCTTCTACTCAGAGGAGGCCAAAGGTTCTGTGTTCCAAAGCACTTGGTTATGAGTGTTGGTGGTGATAGTTTCTCCAATCTCAAGGACAGATTATGAGGTGTTTTTCCCTCCATTAATTACGTGTGTATTAGGCCCTGAATATATCTGGCCTTATGATAACTGGGGATCCATAATTACAGTTGTGCAATTTAGTTTTGTTTTTAAGCATTAAATCTCCAAAGACACCGAATTAGCTCCTATATTTTTCCTCTTTAAAAAAAAAAAAGTAATCACATTTCTTCTAGAAAAAAAAGAAAAAAACACTTTCAGCCCTGGCTGGTGTGGCTCATTTGGTTGGAGAGTGGCAGGTTCCATTCCCCATCAGGTCACATAAATGGGTTGCAGGTTCCACCCCTGGTCAGGGGGTGTGTGGGAGACAACTGACTGATATTTCTCTCTTACATGGATATTCCTCTCTTCAAAATCCATAAAAACACCACCGCTTTCAGATGTATTTTTCCCCTTTACTATATTAATGTCTTATTTGAAGACAGAGTCCCATAACATATTCACCTCCTTACACATTTAATTGCAAAAATGATCCTTAACCATAATCCAGCTGTCTTCTGAGCACTTCCAAACAATTTCACATTCTCCCCAATGAAGATGATCCAAAGTTAATTATAGTTTCTGTATTGTGAAGTGACAAAATTTAGTCACTCTTTTGAGGGCAGATAGTGCCTATTCCTCCATTAGCTTGGA